AAAATAAACGTGGCAATTATAGTGCTTTACAGTTTTTAAAAATGTAGCCTGTAGGTTGGGTACTCAGCTGGGTGTCTCCCTGTGAATACTGGTATAACAGGTCTGGTTTTACTAAATTGTGTGCTTTTGTGTAAGGATGTGAGACAGTAGCATGTAAACGTTGCAATTTGTCTACTTTAGCTTCAGTGAGCAAGATCAAGTGTGCCTTACAAGCTATGTGGAAATCAAAGGTGGGTGTGACACTACTTAACACATTTACCAGGAGTCAATCTAATGCAGGGGATGAAGGTCTGCGGCCTTGTTGCCTAGAGCTCTGGGTAGGCCTTCCTATTTCAGTAAAGGTTTGAAGATATAATACACTAAATGTAAATGCAATGAATTTTCTCCTAAAGATTAAAAGTTCATCAATACTTTTAATGCATACTATATTTCTGGGTCATCTGTCTTTTTCAGTGTACTCAGGCAGTAGCTGGTGAGTTCTTTCAGGATCCAGAGTGAGCGTTAGCTATGAATGATGTTATGCAAGTGGTATTGTTTTGTTCTTCCCTTGGAGAAATGGAGCTGATGGCCAGCTTAGGGACACAGAGTTGCTGCCTTCTGCCCTTTTGAAACTTGTTACAATCTATGACATCTCTGATTCAACTAATCCCATTGAGTGAGTAATAAATTATTTCCCTGATGACTGTTCATAATCAGATACTCCACAAAATTCAGAAGCAGGAGTGGGTTGGATGTGATTCTTCAAAGTAGGGGCTAGACTTTCTCTTCTCTATGAAGGTATTTTTCTTGGTATCTGAGTTCTGTGTTCCCTGTCACTTTTGTGGTACAAATGAGTGCTGCTGCCTCCAGGTTCAGCTGGTGCTTCTTGCAGTCTTTTTTCTGTGATGATGTGCTACTGGTCTTGTTGCATTTTTCCTGTATTTGGCTGTCATCCAGTTTCTCTTTGTTCATGTTATCTTTGTTTTTTCTTCATGCAGACTATCTACTTCTACTTTGTGTTTTCACTGTGGTTTAGCTGCTTATCTTGCAATATAATTCCCATCTTTCCTCACCCCCTTGTGTTTTCCAGTGACTACTAGTTTGTTTCATTTGCTATTTACAGGGCTACATCTGAGCTGTATGTCATCACATGAAGAATACTCCGATAGATGATCTTTCATTTTCAAGCAAAGTGAGAAATTATGCATCAAGAGGACTCTTTATCTTTCCAGATGTTCTTGAACATCTCTCTCATAGATGAAACATCAAATAAAAGGTTACTCCTGTTTTTTCTGTAGGGAAAATTGTTTGAATATCTTAGTTTAACTTTGTCATTGATTCTATGTGACTTGCTTCAATGCAGATAAAATTTTTCTTGATTGCTGTGCTTCCTTATATGCAATCTGTTTTTGCAATATGTAACCACAAAAGACGTATCCTTTGCACATGTCTCTGCTTCATTCAGAGTAATTTCAAGCCATTTCCTTGCTCTCAGGGCTTGAGGAACACTCATCCATATCACTCTTCTTAACTGTGTAGAACCATATCCTGTCTCCTTTTTTGAGCAAAAGCGAAGTGTTTCAGTTCTTTTTAGTTCCATTTCACACAAGAGCCCATGACAGGCATTTTGTGCTCAGACAGTGCAGGTTTATTGAGTGATGTTGTCACCTTGTGTTGTTCTTGTTACTGTTTTTAGAATCTCCGCTTGGTATGGCTGTAATATTTTTATGCCTCAACGAAAAGATCTTTCTGAGTGAGATTGCATACATGAAGATAGTTTTTTAATCCATCCTCATGTCACCTCTCCTGGTTAAATCTTGCTCTGCTGTAGAAAATTCTTCAGGACTGTTGTTCCTTTTGTTGACTGAAAGACAACATGGTAGTGAGTTGATTAACTTCATATTCACTATATAATCTATCACACTAGTCAAACATATTGGAAGTCTGCTATTACTATTTACATGCTATGAGGAAAAAGTGTAGTGAAGGAGATGTTCCACATTCAGTAGGGGGTAGTTGTAGTTTTATCACCTTGTAACAAGTGACCTGCCAACTTTCCTGATTGCATTTGTGAATCCCTGTGCACTTCGTTTTGACCTCCCTAGATTATTTCATTTTAGTATTTAATTAACTATTAAGCATGGATGAAGGGCAACTAAGGAAGTGGGTTCTAGAATAAAACAAAATGTAAAACTGGGAGAAGATTGAGGGATTGGGAAGGAGGTGTATTGTCAGAGATGGTTTATTAAGCAACTCAAATAGGAAAGTTGAGGAACTAAACCTCAGCATTATTTTTTTTGCCTTATTACCTAAAGGTTCTGTAACCTTGAGCATTCATGTCTTGATGCGCCTGAGTAGACATGTATAAATCCTCATGCCTTGGAGAATGCAGTTCAAGTATTTTTGAGTGCTGTTGTGATCTTTTGCTTGGTTCCATGACTGTTGAAGTGCCTCAGCTTCCCACCCTGCTTGGGTGCCAGCTCTCCCACTGCCATGCTTTCTGTGTTTCATCTTGCAACATCTTTTACCAACTGTGGCCAGTTAGCACGTTAAGGTTTTGGAGGAGGCACAGTGGTTGTAGTGAGGCACATATTTCCGAACTTTGGGTATGCTGCTGTTTCCTTGACTTGTAATATAATTTTGTCTGGAGTGTCGTGATATATTTTCAGGTGTTTCTGGAGTTTTTCCATGGGCTGTAGAGTTATTTTTCCTTTGTTCATCTTCTCTTTGCTATGACATGCCCCAAGGTAGACATTCTTGACTTGCTAGCAATTGGGATGATGATTTTATAGCTCTTTTAAAGTGTTGCTAATAGATTCATAAATATAAAAATCACAAATATTTGCTTTATAACAAATGTTCAAAGCAGTTGATTTAGTGTTTCAGGGTAAAGTGGCCCTTGTGCTGAAACTGCATATAACAGTTTCAGTGCGCATTTTGTCTCCTGTTAGAGGGAAGATGCACCATATATAATGCATCTTATCAGCCACCCTTTTCAAGGCCAGACTTGCATCTGGTTACTTTGGCTTAATTCTGGAGCATAAGATTGTTGTGCTTTAGTAGTCGTAACAGAGTTAGCTAAAACTTAAGCGGCAGCCTTGTTATTTTACTAGATGCACTTTTTATGATATTAATAATCAATTTGACTTGATGGTTTGGTTTTAATCATTAATTCTCATTCATTTATAATGATGCCACTTGCATAGTAAGAATTACTGTGAGGTATAGTTTAATAGAAAATATGGGTGTTATATTAAGGTTAAAAAAAAGGCAGAACTTGCTGTGTGTACTCACAAAAGTGCATACATTCTGATTGTTAAGTATTTTGTCCCACTTGAACTATTTTCATGCTGTTCATTCCCCCCGCTTCCTTTCCTTTAGGTCTGCACTTCTGTATGGTATATAAAGTCTGAGGCTTTTGTACAGCCTTGATGATACTCATGTTATAACTTAAGCAAGTTCTAAATAGATACAATTCTTGAAACCATAAAAATGAAAATTATTTTTGAAGATATAGAGTCTATCTTCAATTTGTCATGGAGAGATATTTGAAGTGATTGGTGAAAATTCTGTGGGAGCTTTGGAAATGTCATAATTATCCAACTAGTGCTCTGAAGGGTTTAGCATTTATTAAAAGATGAAAGCTTTGGTAGGTTGAAAATAGTCATTTGTAATGATAATTTTTTTTTTCTTGTCGTAGCTCCCACCCACTCATTCACCCATGCACTTCAACCTCAGAATCATTTCCTATCGTGAGTTCATGGGAATTACGAACAAGGGTAGCTGTTGTCATAACCATTGTAAAAGCTTAAAAAAAAAAAGTGGGGGGGAGGAAGGTTGGAGAGGGTGAAGGAACAAGGAACAGTTGTATCTATTTCTTGCTATTCTGATCAAAAGCTTTAGGCAAATATTAAAAGTTCTATAATTCAGAATACTATTATTTTGCATGTTTTCCAGCTTCTATCATCTTTCAAAATACGTTTTTTTGACATATGACTTTCTGGTTGTTCAGCTTTGGATTTTGTATTAGGTTTTTTTGTGTTTAAACATATGTTTTTCAATATTAAAGTCTGTTGTACTTTACTTTTTTGGTATTCAGAGTATATTCCAGTTACCTGGAATGAGACAGGAAAATTCTGAATGCAATTAGTAGAAGACCCAACATTCCTCAAAAGCTGCCTTGAAAACTAATTTAAATCCATGAAATTCAGATTGCTTCAATCAAAGGATTAAGGGTTCATGACAACAATACTTTGAAAAATAAAATAAAAATAATCCATAAGCATGATAAGTAACTTCAGCCTAAAATTTAGGAACTCTCAAAGAGATCTAAGAATTGGATCTGTTTGTGGCTGTGTGTGAAGTACATATTCAAGCTGTGTAGGTTTGAATTGGGAGTGAATGACAACATATTGCAGGATTTAAATCACCTCTTCTTCACATTGAGGGATTGTAGGAATTTAGACCTGGGGTAGACCTGCCTCTGGTGATGGTCATCTTGTTTTCATTTTTATAAAATTTTGGACTCTGAAGGAAGAAATCGTGGAGACTGAGGGTTGCAGATGACGTTATATGGCATGTAGTTGGCTCTTATTTGAGTTGCTCCGAGTGCAACTGTCTGCAATGTTGTGTGTTTCTTTGGCTGTACCATATTCTTGCTTAGCTTCTCAAATAATCTTTCTTAAATGAGGCAAATGTAATGCTTGTGTTGCTGCAAGGGTAATTTTCTTAATTGTTTTTTTAATGCAGTGATAACATCCTTAAACTTTAACTTTTAATATGGAGGAAATTGTAAACTGTCAGATGCTTCCATATTTTTATGATGTGATGGTAGCATATAATAGCTCAAGTTCCTGAGGTCTTATTTTCACATCCGTGCATTCAGTGCTTACTTTGACTTGTGTTCTATTCATATTTCCAGGAATTTGTACATATACTGACAGTTTTTATGGAAACTATTTGAGAAAATGATCCTTACTTATTTTATGCTGCTGCAGTACTGACTGTGAATTCTCCCCCAGGTGCCCAGATTATTGATTTGATGATGCTTGTAATAGATGTGACAAAAGGGATGCAGACGCAGTCAGCAGAGTGCTTGGTAATTGGGCAAATTGCCTGCCAGAAGATGGTGGTAGTTCTGAACAAAATAGATCTCCTTCCAGAGGGGAAGCGACAAAGTGCCATTGAGAAGATGACTAAGAAAATGCAGAAGACCTTGGAAAATACTAAGTAAGTTAACAGTAATATTAACAGCTAACTTGTAACGAAATATTTAACAAAAATACTTCACCCGCATTCCCCTTCCAACATGCTTCTAAACATACTGAGATATCTAGCAAAGATGATGAGAAGAGTGGAAAGATCACTAGAAACTCAAACGCAGTCCTGAATTTGCATCTGAAAGTATTATGGGTAGACAAGTATTTTCCTATGATGAAGCTTTTCAGTTCAAAGGGCTGCTGGGTGTTCAGGTTGGATAAAACAAAGCCAGAATATCCAGATGAAGAACTGTTGGGTGTGTGTTTATGGTTGGTGGGTTTTTTGTTTGTTTGGATGTTTTGTGTTTTTTGTTTTCTTTTTAGTTTACAGACTTGCAACTTTTGTTGTTATCTGTAGGTCTTTTTCACTCCAGGGAAAAGGAGGTGTTAGGGCTTTTCCTTAACTGAGGTAAAAAAATGTGATTGCCCCAACTATGGAGAGCAGAATGATGGAAGTTTATGTCATGTAGTGTGTCTCTGGCTGGGATGATGTTTGTCAGGCCTGTTTAGGTAAATTAATTGAGGTACATAATGAGTGAAGTGCCGTGAGATTCATGAGTGGAAATGTGGCTGTTTTGAAGTGGGAAGATACAGTACAGACACAATATTTATTTGGTGGTTACACAAACTGAAGCACAGCTTTTTGCCCAGGGTGGTAAGGGGACATTGACTCCCATGTTTATAAGCTGTTAGGTCACATTTTGATTTGAAGAATCAAAGGAATAGGATTCAGTGTACAGAGGAGAGAATGTCACCAGAACGAAAAAAGCAAAGCTTGGTTGAATATGGCAATTCCTGTTTAGCTTATTTGTGATGGTAGGGCAATGTCCCTTTTTAACTATGCAACTGCCACAATAGTGACTACAAAGACCTTGGTGTCTTTCCAACTCCCATGTTGTTCTTGGGTCCGTTCATTGTGTTGGGAATGGTACAGAGGTCACCAAGAAAGTGAAATTCTCTCTGAATTTAGAATCCTATGCCTTTCAATTCTCTCTGGCAGCTTTTGACTTAAGGGCAAGTAAATACATGGTGTCTTGGTTTTCTCTGTAGGTTGTTGCCCCTTGTTTTAGGGGAGATAGAGAAAAGAGACACCTGCAATATATTAAAGCATTTTGGATTAACAATTTTCTACAGCTGTGAGTGTGATCAAATTCGCAGCTAATCCCAATGGGGATAGCATTGAGATGATAAAGTTAAGAAAACTTTAGAGATAAATCACAAGAAATCCATTAGATAATTTATTTTGTTGTTTGAAAGGTTGATATATAGGATGTAACTTAAGCAGTATTACAACTAATAGTTATTTTTTATCTGTGTCTGATAAAAAATAAAAGCTGCTGAATATTAAGGACTCAAAAGGTAAAATTCATTATAAGAGAAAAGCTAAACTGAGGTCAGTTGTGGAAGTACAGCTCTTCTCTGAACCTTGGCATGTTTGAGATCTGAGAGTTTCATGAACTTTGATTTCAGTAGATTTAGATCTTTGTCATCTGCAGCTCTTACAGTCTGCCTCTAGACTGAGGTAGACATCATGTGCCATCTTGCATTTGGCTCCTGTTTTGAAGGTTATGACTCGACAGCTAGGATTATAATTGTTTTGATGAAAGCTGAAAATGGTGCTAGTCTTCAGGTAAAATGGCTTGAACGCAAAGCCACTGCAATAACACTGGGTACCAGACCTTTGCTTCAGAAATAAACTGGTCTTGCCTACTGAATCAGTAGCTAATACTAAACAGGACTGAAGATTTCATAGTGAAGTCCAGTAGCTCAGATGGTAGTAATTCAAGAAAAAGTTGTCACTTATTCACTGTGGGGGAAGAGCAGATAAATTGGAATTTGAGGGAGTTTTGTTGCCTTCATTGTCAGATGAGCCTGGAACTACTTTACATTGACATGTGTAGGACATCTGTGGTCTAATGATGGGAGTCTTTCTCTTTTTCAGGTTCTGTGGGTGTCCTGTCGTTGCTGTTGCAGCAAAGCCTGGTGGACCTGAAGCCCCAGAGTCTGAGAATCCGCTAGGTGTTTCTGAATTAATTGAGGTACCTGCTGAAGAACATAACAACAACAAAATGTTTAAGTCTTTTGGAAGACACTGTATTAATATGTAGAGCTGAGGAACTCCTGCATTAATGTCAGTTGTAAGGAACCTGGTTCTTTAGGAATTGCTATTGGAGAAGTTGAAGTTGCAAGTCCCTTTTTCAACTACTAGGCTTCAATCCCTTTGCATAGCTGTGTCTTAAGAAACAGCTATCACGTGTGGTGAAATTGGTTTTAAAGTTGTAAAGAATTATGAAGCATAATGGATAAAAATAGCTTTAAAATTCTGCCAGATCCTTGGTAGGTGTTGTTTTATAATTGTACCACAGTTAAAGCAGTGAAGTTGTGAAGTCAGGCACTCAAAAGTTACACATTGGGAATTGTCTTCTTCCTTTGTGTGTGTATTATGATCCAGTGTTTAATTGCATGATTTTTTTTATTCTAAACAACTCTTACCTCATTCCTTGCACAGGATGGACAGGGCTCAACTAGTGAGCAGGTAGTCTGTATTTTGTTTTAATTCTCATTATTCTCTGTGTGGCCTCATGACTCCATTCAAATACTGCTCTGCATTCAGAATGATTAATTTCCTCCTGGACTTTTCTTTGGCACACATCACTGGTCTTGCGCACTTGGCAAACAGTTAATTTACTTCCAAAAGACCTATAGGAAGTGTAGAGGTGACTTTAATCCATATTTAGATTGGGAAGCTGAGGCACAAAGGGGTTAAGTCCACTGAGTTCACTAATTTTAGTTGCCAAATTTAAGCGAAACTAGGAACTCTTTTGGGACATGCTTGTATTCAGATCATAGTACCTGCCAATTTTGATTGCAATTGAGTGCTTAGCACTCCTGTGAAGCTTTGGGGTTTCTGTTTGGACAGTCTGAGGTGTATAGTCAGTGATTCCCCGTGGAAAGTTTAATTTTTAAGAGAATGACAATACATGGGAGTTCTGGCATAAGCAAGTGTAGAATCCATTCTCTAGAGGAGCACCACCTGCCTTCATGATGAAACCATCTTTCTCTGTGATACTTTGCCTTACTGTACGTCTTGCACATCTGCAAAAGATAAAAAGCATGACCTGGATTTACCCTGTGCCCTGAATGAGGTAGGGCCTGGAAGAAACTATATGATTGTATAACATGTCAGACCCATATGAACAAGAAAAGACTTTAAACAAACTGGTGCTTCGCAGGTATCCTTAGTTCCAGCAATGTGGGTTGTTTTTTTGTTTGTAGGTTGGGGTTTTTTTGGAGGGTGGGGGAGAGGATAGAGTAAGTTCTCAGGCTTTCAGAAAAATCAGTTATACAGTAAGTTACATAGCATGAAGCTTATACTGTGAAGGGCAGGACAATTAAAATAGCCGTTTGAGAGCAGTTTGTAGCTTGTAATAGACTTGTCACCCTTTCTGTGAATAAGCTTTAGGGAAAAGTAGCCTCTTCACACTGTGGGGGTGCCACTGTTATTTGCAGAAAGTAGTCCTAAAACAAAGGCATCATTCTTTGAAGACTTGTCGAAGTCCGATTTGGATGCTGCCAGGTTTAAAATACTTGTAAATTGCTGAAGTTGGGGTGCAGCACTAGTCATCAAAAATCTGGGGGTCTGGGCTGGGGCAGCCTGACTTATACAAAGGTAGGATGAGTGTCGTACTGCCTCCCAGGCACGTATGGCCTGAGGTGGGCATGGGAGTGTGATACAGTATGACCTTAGGTTAGATTTAGCAAGAACCAGGCTGCCCACAGCAATGTCTAGGAAGGTGGACATAGGGAAGTCCTTAGTTCTGCCTTCATCTGGTTTCAGGTAGATTTACTGGGATGTTCCCTAGGGTTAAAACCTTTGAAGGAAATACCCATGTTGCAGATGTTTCTGTCAACTCTGAGACGTAATATTAGAAGAGCTGGCTAATGCTGTGTGAGCCCTGCCATTGAGCTTCGAAGTATTATCTTTTCTGTCCTTGGTAAGGGTCTCTCTCCATTGTTCTGCCATTACAACGTGGGCTTAACCTGCATTTTCTGATCTTAAAAGCAGACAATAAAGGTAGTGCCAAGTTTATATGCTGATGTTCTAAGAGGCAGAGATCAAAAGTGATATGAGCCAAGGGTGAACCAGTTCCTCTGAAGCACTGCTGGGTAGATTACTGCATTTCTGTAATTAAGGTCTTTTGTCTGTGGTGATATATTTTAAGAAATACAGTATTTGTCAGCAAAACAGAAATCCTAAACTTGGAGAATTTCTCTAGAAAATGGTACTTAGGTAGCTGATTTTCGTAGCATTTTGGTCCTCCAAGAAGTGTTAACAGCAATCTGAAGGGGAAGGTGACTTTGAAAACTTAACCCAGTATAATAGTTTTTCTGGGAGGGAGGTAGGGATGGGCTTTATGGGGTGCTAATATCTGTATGTAAGTTCATTTTCACAAAATCCAAAAAAGCTGAAGTAGCAAAATGCACTGTAAAATTATACTTTTGAGAGAGAAGGGGAAAAAAGATGGGGGGGAATGATGTACAGGATTTTTTTTTCCTCTTTGCTTTGCTGCAGTGTTTATATTGAGTTTGGCAGCAACTTTATCGCCAGTGCAGTTTTGCTAACCAAGCTAAATGTGCAGCACCAAATCTTTCTAAGGCAGAAAATCGAACTGTTCCCGCTACTAAGTGCGCATCTCCTCTATGGCACACAGTTAATTTGACATTGGTGCGTTCTAAGCTCACTGGGAGATGCCTGAAATCAGTAAAACTGCAAGCTTGTTCAATCAGTCATCAGCTTTCCTTCCTTTTGCTGTATGGCTGTCATGACTTTTCACCCAGGCATGGTGCTGCTTTTTTTTTTTTTTTTTTTTTTTTTTTTTTTTAGGTCCTGAAGTCTCAGGCTTACCTGCCATCAAGAGACCCCTCGGGACACTTCCTTATGGCAGTCGACCACTGTTTCTCTATCAAGGGTCAAGGCACAGTGATGACAGGGACTATTCTTTCTGGTTCTGTTAGCCTTGGTGACAATGTGGAGATTCCTGCCCTGAAGGTGAGTTATTCCCCTTAGTTTTCCTGATAGAGATACTCAACAAAGAAGAGAGTGTTCTTTTCCAATCTGAAATTATCCAATTATTTTCGATGTCTGTCTCTTTGTACTCCACTATAAGTCAACTTATAATAGGAAGACACAGAAATTTTTAAATAAAGCAGCCAGTAAAGCTACCTGCTCAATTGCAGTTGAATGAAGAGAAGACTGACGTAGATTAGCATGTTACTTTCAAATTCAGAAAAGCAAGGTGGGAATGCTTCCAAGGTAGGATGTGTCCAAGGACTGTACAAGGTTTGAGTGAGGTTACTTTCATTTGAGACATGCTGCAGTGAGAAGACTTGCAAAAGAACCTGTGTAGGTAGGTTTCCTGAGATGTTTGGAAGTGAAGAAAGTGACAAGAAGAGGGCATTGAAATGCTTGATGCGCATTCTCTTTGTTTGCTGAGGTTTTAGTTGATGTCAGCATGTTCTGGTAGAACTGCTGGGATGTAGTCGGTGGCTTGCTGCCGTTGGGTTTTTTAGAGAGCCTGTAGAAAGTCAAGGGCCTTTCAGTGGCCTTTGAACTGCTTAACTGCTGTTACTATTTTATTTCCTTAAAATATATTCATCCTTTAAAAGAAAATATGCTTGGAATGGTGAAATTTTATTCCAATTTATACTTGGAACAGGTGAAACCTATTTCACAGATGTTGATTTTTGACTGCTTTGACTTTCCCTTTTTATTAATTGCCCCAAATGACTCAAGACTTGTGGAGTGTTTTGCAACTGCCACTTAAAGGGGGCCCAGCCACTTACATTCTGAGAGTAGGCAGCTTTTGGCTGAACAAGCCTGGGTGGGACCTTATTGGTGCTGTCAGTATTATACTCAAGTCGTGTTACTGTAAGGATCTTTCTGTTTCATTGAGGGAATGTGCTGTTTTCTCGTTTTTGCCTGTACTTTGTGGGCAAGTGAAGGACTAAGTGAGGCATTCTGATTTCACCTGAAATGTTTTGCTGGTAGGTGACAATTAATTTTTGGTTAGCCTCTTCGGTGATACCTGTGGCCATCTAGTTTATATCATATTGTCCTTTGCATAAAAGTGATTTACATGATATGTACCCCATTATGTCTGCTTTCGAAGTGGAGTTCCTCACTGCCCATATTCTCACTTGCAGCATGCAGCCCATTCTGGGAGCCATGCTTTCAATTCCTGCAGGGAATCTGCTTTGCTGGGATTGAAGCTGTGGTTTTAACCTCTCCCGCTTTCCCCTTGCCAGTGTTCCTTCCCTTTTCTGTTGTGTCCCGCTTGCTGTCCTGGGCCTGTCTGCACAAGGGGTCCAAGATGGGACAAGTAGTTAGGAGTGCAAGGCTGAGGAGTGCTGAGTGATGGCTCCTGCCCAACGGGGACCTTGCATAGCTAAGTTAGCTACTTTCCTTTTGGCGTAGCACTGGCCAAACTTCCTGTCGCTTTGTGCTCTGGGAGATGGGGGTGAGACAGAGCGGAGTAATTATTTCTTGCAAAGAAAGAATGCATAACTAGATCATATCTGGAAATGACTGTTCAGCTCTTCCTGTATAGTCCAAGAATGTTGTGGAGAAGTGTGTTCAGGAATTAGTCTGCTCTCCGAGAATCTGTATGAAGGGGAAAATTACAAAAGTGTAGTGAATAATTTGCATATTGCAAATAGGTGTTTAAAAGGACAGTAAGAAGGGCTTTAAGTTGGAATTTAAAAGATGCTTTCTTCCCAAGTGACTGGGGGAGCAGTGAAGTGAAAAGCAAGTTAGTGGATAAACAGGTCATTGACAAAGAGGAGCCAGATCACTTGGCTTTTATGGCATTAACAACTTCCTTCAAAGTTTTAGTTATTTTCAATTGCTGTTAATTAATTAACTAATCCTTCTCCTGCCTTGTGTGAAGTAGAAGATGTGTCCATACTTCTGAGTGGTAGTAGTGGTGGGCAGAGTTTTGCATTTTGGTTTTTTGCCATTAGGAGCTTGTGAATATTCATGTTCATGTTGTACAGGTATGGAAACCAAGGCGCAGTAAAAGGAAGCAACTTTTGTAAGCTTGAGTTGTGTGTTGTACTTACCCCTGCTAGCATCATGCAGAGATGGGTTAGGATACCTATAAAAGGTCAAACCTTTCTCAGGCCTACAAGGTAACGGAGGAAGCACATTTCACAACACGTTGTGGTTTATGACTCTCTCTGACCTTTTTTTGCCCTGACCCTATGGTAACTGAGATTGACAGCTGGTGCCCACTGGGCATTTAGGGACATTACAAACCAGCTGCTTTTTAAATTTGAGGAACCCTCCCACCAAATGAAGTGGCATCACCTTCCAGTTCTACTAATGGACTTCGACATCTTTGACCGCTTGAACCTGCACAAAGGAGGGACACAGCAATTAAAAATAAACAGTGACATTCTCAAACGCCCATGCTTGCTCTGATTGAGGCTGAGAGCACCAGCAGTGCATGGATTCCTTTATGCTGTTGCCTATGTAAATTGCCATCTGGGATTGATTATCCATATAGTGAAAAGAAAAATTATATATATGTGTTTGGCAAAAATATTTGACACAGCAAACAGTTCACTATCCAATTGAGTTAGTACTATTTGCTCACTAGCACTTGAAATCCACCTTGAAGAGCATGAACCTAGGATTTCTGCAGCAAAAATGTATTATTGGCAGAGTTCTGAATGTCCTTTAATATTATTTCAGTGGTCTTTCCATCTCTACAGTCTTCTAGTTTATAAACTGTAACAACTCGTGACATTTTTATTTCTGCTTTATAAAAGTTCCTGGAGTTAGAATAGTAAGGATTTTTTCAATATAGATTTTATTCTATTGATAGGTTTGGTGATAATCACTTCAAAAGATTTACCTAAGTATATTTTGTTTAGTGAACTTAATTTAAGTGAGCATGAATGTCAAATTCTAGTGCTGCTATATCTTTTTATAGCTTACTTTAATTGAGAAAGGAAAGTGTGTGTTTTCAGTGAGGGAGAGGTATCTCTGCCTTCTTTATCCAGGTGAAAAAAAAAAAGTCATAGTAGCCTAAGAACAGTAGCTACTTAGGCAGAAAAAAGGCAAGAAGCAGGACTCTTGTTCTTAACCAGTGGTTGTCTCAAAACAAAACAAAAAAATTCTCGTGTGAGAAGTAATGCAAAATATTGTATGGTATGTGATCTTCCTTCTACCCAGTGTTAGTGATTCTAGCTTTGGATTGCACAGTCGCAATCACATTAGAAATACTGGAAGATTGCATAAAATGGGTGATAATAAGTTAATATTCCTTTAAAGATGTTTTAGGTCACAGAAAATCTTTCAGATTACTTAATAAGAATATCTCTCTGTCCTAAGATTGTGAAAGATCATAGAAGAAGTCAAGTCTGAATTGAGTGAGGAGGCAGAAATGTGCACAGTTAATGGATATAAATTTGGTCATCCTGAAAGTGTCGACTCGGTATTGCCTTACCTGTGATCAAGTGCTGCAGGCATATAGCAGCCACAAAGCATGTACATGGCAGCCAAGTACAAAGACTACTGTTGTTTTCAGGACTTGTAAGAAGTAGAACTTTTCTCCTTGCTTTATATTCAGGTTCCTATCTGTTCTGTTTAGAGCAAGCTGAATGGCTGGTGGAGGCTAATAGCTTCGGTGGAGCCTATATAAAAGTACAGTATACTGCCATTTTGTACGGCATTTTGTCTGAAGTTCATGAGTGTCTTGAAGGCTGAGTAGCTGTGTTATTGGTAAACAGTTACGTTGATGTTTTTCTGTAGGGGGTCATGTAGGAATTTTTGCTGTGTGCTGAAGCTGAATAATGTATAACAGTACAAAGTTATTTCTTGTGTAATAAATCATGTGGACACTCAATCATTGGACTGACCTTGGGAGGTGCCTCTTTAAACATTATGAGATTTTTGATCTGCTAGGTGTGGTTGAGCTGTTATCATTAAAGGCGAAGAAGAATATTCATACCAGGTCCAACTTTCACTATCCCTGAGGTTTGCAGTAGAATTTTGGCATTCATTTTGAGCATTTGAATCTCAAAAGTTGCAAGTGTGTTTATGAAATGCTTCTCTTGGCGAGTAGTCATCCAGGTGTTTCAGTACTCTGATATACTTTCAAGAAGTCACATGAGACATCAAATATGAAAAATGTGAGAAACTTGCTTCTCTTTATCTAGTTAAGTTTCCTAGTAAATGAGTATCAGTTTAAACCAGTACTGGATTCTGTCTTGGCAAGGGCCTATTTGCTGTCAAGTTATATTGACTTTATGAACTTTTAAGAAATATAATTTTGTAAGTGTAATCCTGAGAAGCTTCATGATTTCATATACTTCTACCATATGAAAAGAGATTTTTTTTTTTTAAGCTTCATTGTTGGCTAGATAACCTTGGTCTGTTTTTTGGCAAACATTCTGTAGTTCGTATAGCTCATCCAACAAAAAATTCTCCAGTGTCTCTTAGAATAACCCAAATAGTATTTGCAAGGCTATTTCCTTCAAAGCACTGTAGCTATTCAAATTGTAACGGATATATCTGCTTTTGCCTACATGAGTACTTCAGCCTATCTGATGTCGCAAGGCCTCTGCTTAGGGAGCTTTAGTATATAAATGTAATAAGAACTAATTTCAGTGTATTTAAGGACTTTATGCGCAGAGTTGCACGGTTAAATCTTGTCAGAGAACTTTTAAATCTCAGAAAACTAAGTTGGATCAAACCCCACTGAACTGGATCACGAAGACACTTGCGTGGACTTTCATGGTGAAATACTAAATAAATTTTTACCACTATAATTTTGAGTTCTTTGGACCTCATAATATACTGCTTCCAAATTTCAGGATATCTTGACCATGTTTTGCACTGCGAATAGATAGAACTCTTGCTACATTTTCTAAGTATGTCTGAATGCTGTTTCTACATCTGTTTTTCCCAATACTTCTTGGATTTTTCTTGCCCAATGCTGATATAAACAGCCTTTAAAATACTACAGTTCATCTGCTAGGGGAGAA